ACTTACTCTTCCTGTCTAGCTGAAATTTTGTGTCCTTTGACCAACATCTCCACAGCCCCTCACCCCAGCCTCTGGTAACTACCATTCACTCTCCGTTCCTGTGAGCTCAACTTTGTTAATTCTGCATAATAAAACAGATCATACAGTATTTGTGTTTCTGTACCTGGCTTGTTTTCACTTAATGTGATGCTTTCCAGATTCATCTGTGTTGTCAAAAATGATAAGATTTCTGTCTTTTTAAAGACTAATTAGGGTTCCATAATGTATGTATAGTTGTTCCTTCCATATCTGTGAGAGAATTGTTCTAGGACCCCCCCCTGCCCCCGAGATTCCAAAATCCAGGGATGCTCAAGTTCGTTATAAAAAATGGCGTAGTTATTTGCATATCACTTACACATGCCCTTCTATATCCTTTAAATTAGATTACTTTTATTACCAGCATGTAAATAATTGCTATGCGTATTGCTAAGAGAATAACAGCAAGGAAAACAGTCTGTACATGTTCAGTAGAGAAGCAGCCATCCATTTTTTCTTAATATTTTAACTGGATGTTGGTTAAATCCATGGATACAAATGCCTGAATATGAAGGGCTGCCTGTGTCACATATTCTATATCCATTCATCCAGTAGTGGACATTTAGGTTGATTCCAGGTATTGGCTTTGTGAATAATGCTGCAGTGCAGCATGATAGCGCACCTGTCTCTTCTACATACGTGTTTCATCTCTTTTGGATACATACCCAGTAGTGGGATTGCTGGGTCATGCAGTCATACTCTCTTTTTTAGGATTAAATTAGATGAAGTGAATGTTATTTTATGTTAGTAAGGGTAGAACGACATTTCCATTGCTGCAAATCTGGAAAGCATTTCTTTTAAGTACTGGAATAAGACAAGTGTGCTCAATGTAACTAGTTTATTCAACATAGTATTGGCAGTACTAGCCACAGCAGTCAGGTAAGAGAAAGAAAGAGCATTCAAATCGGAAAAGAGGAGGTCAAACAATCCCTATTTGCTGATAGTATGATCTTGTATCTCAAAAACCCTAAAGGCACCTCCAAAAACCTCCTAGAATTGATAAATTCAGCAAAGTCTCAAGGTACCAAATCAATGTACATAAATCAGTACCATTTATATATACTAATAACAGTTAAGCTGAGAGTTAAATCAGGGTCTCAATCTCATTTATAGTAGCTCTAATACAGAGATAATAAAATACCTATGAATATACTTAACTAAGGAGGTGAAAGGGCTCTACAAAAAGAACTACAAAACACTGATAAAAGAAATCTTAGGTGACACAAATGAGAAAACATTCTGTGCTCATGGATCAGAAAAATCAATACTTTTAAAATGTTC